TGGGTGTGTGTTATACTGGGGGTAGATTTGTTTAGGAAAACGGTTAAATTCCGTGATTTACGACCGTTTGAAGTGGGTTCGCAATCGGCTTCCGAAAGAAGCCTCGTTTCCAATTTTCTGCTCGAATTTCTGAATGAACCCGAATCCTGAATTTCCTCGTGAACCCTGACGAACTTGTTCCATTGACGGAAAATATCCCTGATAGGAGCGCTAAAAACGTCTTACGTTTGAAACCATTGATCTTAATCAATGCCTTTAAATCTAAAATACACTGTTTTATCAAGGAATGGTTTCATGGTACCACTCGAATATTTTTGGAGAAGCTGAATAAGCCGTTGATTACTTTTTCACATCTCGAAATCTGGAGGAAGTATATCCTCCAGTCCAACAGCCATTTTCAAAATGCTAATCGTTTCTCGACCTTCCCTCAGCAAATTTTTGGCTTTCTTTATCGTGACGTTGAGGGGGAAAAACTTCTTCAAAACTCCTTCATTTAGAACCCCGCTTGAAAATGGAGGAAAATAACCTCGTTCTTGACCCGAATGCCCCGGAATTGAAGCGTTTTCTCTCTCTCCCCCCACCCTTCACCGATTTGGTTGACTGACAAACCTGTGGCTGTTCTACAGGTTTGAATAGAAAAAAAAAAGGGTTTTTAATTTTTTCGGTTGCCAAGCCCTGGACGTGTGTGTGATTGGAATCAAAATGCGGATCGTGCGTGCAACGACATACGCACAAAAACCACCTCTTCAAGACCTTTTTTTTTCTCCTCCAGTTCTTCGCTGCCTTGTTCCGTGACGAATTGAACGCAGAATGAGGAGGAACCCTCCCAAAAAAAAAAAACTTTCGCTGTAATCACTGGTAACGTCAAACTCAAGTTTCAGTAGTAATTGCGAAGCAAGGTTTTTTTTTTTTTTTTTTGGTGCCTTCCCATGTGGTTCCGTTCCTCAGTTAAAGTGTCTTCGTTTCATAACGCACATGTCATTTCGCAACGCCGCGGGTTTTGAGTTCCTAATCTCAGCCCGAAGTATTATTTTTTTTCGGGGGGTGAGACGTTTCTTGCGGGAAAATCGCGTGTCTGGTCATCGTCAGTTCATGCGTTGAAAATTCTTTTTTTTTTTTTACATCCGGGCGAAAGGATTTTTTAGTGTGTGTGTGTGCTGTTGGTTAGAACCGCAACAGGTGCGAAGGAATGAAAAATTAATGGGGTTTCTTCGGGTTGGAATGAACTGCCCACCGATTGACCAGTCATAATTCAACCTTCGTGTTGATATTTAAAAATTGAGGAAAAATGATAAATCACGGGAAGAACTTATTCATGTTTTGAGACACACCAGGTGAAATGTATGTTGACTGAATCCCTAATGGTTTAGTACGTCAGATTCTATTGTTCTTCGAATGGAAGCTCGAGAAACGTATCTATTTTGGATAATATCGCAATTCTTCATTTTTGGTTTCCGAGTTTAATTCAAAAGAAGAAATGCAGTGATCGCACTGTAATTTATAATAATTGAAAAACATTATAAATTGCAGTGCTGTACAGGACATTAAATCATTCATTGAACTTATATCTGTCAAAGATTTTATCTTGTTTAAAGCTGATTTCGTGGTTCTCATTACATTCACTTAGCGATATATATCGTGAGCAAAGTTGGGAAAAATTCTCATGTCACTTGAATAATTCGTCGTAATCGGTTAAATTTGCGAAGTAAAGTCGAAAGTAGTGCATATATTTTTATCGTCCTGTAAAACTACTCATCGTCCAACTTCTGATGCTCGATTTAATTTTCACGATTTCTTTGGATTGAAATTTCGTAAGGGATGGTCTTGAAATACTGGATTAAAGTGGTCCCCCGAAAATATAATCCGGAGTTCGAGAACACTTGTAGCTGAATAAAATCGTCGCCGAACTCCGGTCGGTTAAAGACTTTTTTTTATCCGATCTCTGTGACTCAATGGAATGAAAACGTCACATGACATTTCAACGACAGCATTTGTTTTACAAAGCTGAAATTCCGCTTGAAACGAAAACTCAGTAGCCTCGTTCTTTTTACGTCTTATTCCGCCTTCGAAAAGCCTTGAGCTAACACACTTGCAATTGCGTTGCGTGGACAGCTAGTGGGAATGGGCCGTAATGAATACATGCGACAGGCTATAAATAAATTTAATGAAACTCCGTCGTGTGACACGCAATTGTTGTTTATTCGGGGAAGATGGAACAAGAAGACTGAGATGAGGAAAAAAAAAGAAGCAAAGAACGGAACCGAAGCAAACTTTTTTCTCACGCGAAAAGAAAATTATTGATGATCGGTCCCGTCCTCGGATTGATGTTCGCCCCCGGCGAGCCCGAAAAAAAAAGTCCGCAACAGTGATAATGATGGGCAAGACTGAGGACAATTCTTTCAAAACTGGGTCGAAGGTTTCGAAAGAATGTTTGAAACAAAAATAAAAGAGAAAGAATAAATTGCCGAACCATTCCGCTGTTTTTTTTTCTATTTCTCCGTGTCGTTTGTTCGTTCGCCCGGGAGGAAAAAATAGTCGGAAATTGCCCCGTGTTTAAGGATGAGGGACATTCATTCCCAACCTTCTGCCTTTTTTTCTTTCTTTCTATTCTCTCTATTGGGTCTTGTGTGTCCCGGAAGACTTTGAGAAGAGAAAGTTTTTTTCTGTTTGCTAGGTCGACTTGAAGAAAAAAAAAAGGACACGAACGAAATGCCGAGGTTTCTTATTATTCAAGGTGTTTAAAGTGTAACAAATGAGTCGGTCCCTGTTTCGCAATCCGAACTCCGCGTTTTTCCTCGGCAGAAAATCGACGACCCACGTGTTTCGAAATTTCCCATTCTAATTCATTGTACGACTGCTTCTATTCCTCTTAATTTGTCGAATTTCTGCCGAATTCTTGCGAATCTGAAGCGTTGTTTCCCCACAAATTATTTCCTCGCCAAAAATCTGTGCGCGTTTTGAGAGGTATGAAGTTGAATTATCATATGCTTCTTCTTCCAGCAATCCGGAAAGAAAACTCCGTTTAAATGATGAATGACAGTACACTATTTTAAATAGCCAATTTAACACACTGCATTTCCACTGGTAAGAATTATTTCCATCATCTGGAAGGAATACAGAAAACTGAGTATTCCGATTGAAAATGTGACGAGGTTTCTGGCAAGTTTCAGTAGCTTTTTGGTTAAATATCTCGATCACAAGTTCGATGAAACAGTTGATAATTCAAAGAAGAATTTATATTAACCTTCGACTGCAGCTGGTACAGTACAGTAATTGCAATGTAATGTGCTTTAAGATATATACAGTACAACAATTTGATTTTGTTTACAACAACTTTTCTGCCAGTTAATAAAGCTTCTGGGTACAGTTTTTTTATGCTCAGTTAAAGAACCTGAACAAGATCTCGACTCGTCTGAAAATCGTTGGCATTTTATATTCTCAATGTGGATATTATCGATGTAAATATTGAAGACGACTCCATCAAAAAAACAGAGGATGACCTTATGCCGTCCCCTCAGAAACTATGACGACGTCAGTTCGCTCATCAAGAATTTTAGTGGGAGAAGCTCGAAAGAATTCTCGTCTGAAGACATATTTACGACACTACGGTGGGGAGGGGGGTTCAAGTTCACAGGAGAAGAAAATATCCTTGTTAAAAAATACATTGAGGCGAAAAAAAAATTTTCTTGCTGATCGCGCACAATAGGCCTGACCATAAATTCCTTTCTGGTTGCGAAACAGGCCTCCTCCATTCCGATTGAATAGGCCCACACGCAACAACTTACTCCACTGACCTCACTCACAAGAATGTTGGGCACGTTTCGGAGGTGCAGTGAATGAGAAAAAGTTGCGAAATCACGCCTAAGCCACCTTGAATGTCTCTCTGTACAAGGTGAGGCGAATAAAAATGACTCCCATGTACACGAAATTTAGACATTTACTGTATATGAAAGTTCAATAAAGAAAGATACGTAGGTGTCCTTCGGGCATCCGAAATGGTTCAATTTTCTTGCCAGTGCATTTCATGGATTCCTGTATGGTCATTATTTTTCTAATTCGTAGTTACGGCAATTCATGGAAATTTTACATCACGCTGATCAATAAGCAGATTCTTGATATTGTGCTGTTTCAATTGATTCCTATGTGGTTTTTCTTTTAGAAACATTTTTACCTCGGGCCTCAAAATATTCCAGCTTTTCTGATTCTTGAAGGTTTTCAATCTCGATCTTTGGAAGTTCTGAGTGACGTTCGTAATTTAAATCAACTGGAAATTTAAAAATTCCAACGATTTCCAATCAAGATTAGTAAAAAAAATTATGGTGAATCCAGTTTTCTTCGGTTGTTGCCTAGTTTTTTGTTTTGTTTCGTTTCGTAGTTCGCGGACGCACGTTTTCAAGGTGAATCAAAAGCATTAACTTATTGGGAAACTTTTTTATCCTACAAATCCTCATTACATCCAGCAGTTTAAATCAAAAGTTGAGAAAAATGGGTACTTTTCTTTTTGACGACCCTTATAAAGGTACAATGCCAGGGAAAAGCGGCGTCGTTTTACTTGGGCTTCCCTGTCATCGGAACTTTCACTTTCAGGGTCCGAATCGAAGAATGAAAAAGGTATTAAAAAAAAATTCGACACGTGAAAGCCCAGCTGAATAACCTAGGCCTTCTTGGGAGAATATCATTTTCCTAGACACTCTCGTCTTTCTTTCCTCGCCCCACCATCTCGAAAACAAAAGAACTTCTGGAAACTTCGGTCGTTTTTTTTTTTGGTGTGTGACCTGACCCGGGTATTAAAGAACCAGACGCTTTATGACGTAGCTTGACTTCTTTAAGTGATTTCGACTTCATTTTTCATAATTTTGGGCTTTGAAGGGAAGATATCCTGTCGGCTTCTCTTCGTTTTCTGTTCGTTGAATAATTTTGAAAATTCCGGTTTTTTGTTCGTTTTTGTTTTGGCCAGACGAAAAAAAATTTGGTCTTCAGTCAGCGCTTCAGCTGGTGTGTCAAGTTAACACCAGCATTCGAAGAGACATGATCGCCAAGTAATTTTCCTTCATAACGCTGAATTTCTGCAATTAACCTTTCAAAATTCAAACATCGTAAGTATTGTATATGTGTCGCTCCTTCATCCTTGGAGAATGCAGGAGGAAGATGAAATGCTTAGTTAGACAAAGTGAAGACGCGATCATATAATTGGTCCGCGAGGCATAAGTAAAATCTAGAACCTATCGTCAACCTCGGAGGCTTATTTTTCTTGGATGATTTTTTCAGTTTAAAATTGAAGCATTTGGAAAAAACTTCCGTTACTTCATGAGAAAATTAAAAGAAATGAAAACGAAACTCACGGAATGGAATTTGGTGAGGTCTTCGAGGCGGACGAGGAGGCAGTCGAGCACGAACTGCGGTGTTGGCATGGCATTCTCGTCACCGTCAAACCCGTTGACGATGCTGCAAGTGCCAGAGTCGTCGAGGGATCGACACCCCGTGGACGACGCCTTCAGGCCAAAGGCGACGGCCGACGTTGAAGACGTCATCGTCGACGTCGTGCTGCACAACATCCGGTCCTCGTCGCTGTCGTCGCCGAACCGAAACCCTGGCACGTCCATGTCCACGTCTTCGTCATCGACAGCCACCATGTCTTCCTCGTGACACGACCGTCTCCGAGGCGCCACTGACGTCGCCGCCGCGAACTTTGAATAGTAGAGTCCGTGAGCGGCGGCGGCGACGGCTGCTGCCGCCACCAAACCAGGCGGCAGTCGAGAAAAGTTGTGATCTGCGAGAGAAAATTGAAAATATTTTCAAGCAACCAAATAATAAGAGGTAACGCATTTTCTTCAATCGAATGCTTTCACGCCTCGATTCTTTTCATGGCATGACATAAACTTTTCTTCAAATGTATGAATTAAATTGGAATGTATCCAGATCCAAGTTTTACGCATAAATTGCACAGGACAAAAAAAAATAGATTTCATCAAAGCAAGTTGAAAAAAAAACTCGAGGAAAAAAATTGGTCACGAGAGAAAAAAAATTCCTCACATCTGCAATTTGTGAAAATTTGATCTAAGTCATAATTTTTGTTTTTAGATCATTTGAAGCAAATAGCTGCTCTTCCTTCATACCATTCGGAAGATCCCAAATCCCGACAGAATCCCGTATTTTAGAGAGAAAAAAAATTAAAGATCATTCATCAGCACGCACAATCTCTCGTCTAGAATTGATTTCTTTCTATTTCTCAAACAAATTTCGTCCCGGTGAAAATACGTAGGATCGAAAGAGATTTTTAGATTTCTGGGCAAAATAATGAATGATCTAAACTCTTTTACTACGCTTCGAAAAAGCAACGAAAATGCGTCCATTCCCCAAATAGCCTTCTTCCTCATTATTAATAGGATTCCCACGGATCAATGCTTCATAAATAATCACGGTTCATTAGTCAACTCAAATAACGAGTCACGGAGTACATGTATGCGTTAATCTATCCAAAAACACACACACACACACAAAAAAGGGGGAGGGAACAACTACACAACGTCAAATCAGTATCTTCCACATGGAATGTTGACATCTCGAGCCTTTCTTCCTGCACTTCTCCGAACTCGGGTTCACACAAAAATAAAATAAAGAACATGCTTATCACGCCCTTCATAAACGTTTCAGCTGCGGCGGAAGTAGATTTTTTCGCCGATTCACATCCACCCTTAACAATACGCGTCATGTCAAACAGCTTGAAGAAAACTTAGCCCCTTTTTCCCCCCATCAAAAAAAAATATCCCCTGTCATTTGGGACTCGGATTTACACAAATTAAAAGCTGAGCAGAGAAGGAAAAAGTTGAAGAAAATCGAAATTGTTCCGCAAGAAATGCGATGTAACACAGAAATTTCGCGATTACTTCACGGATTAAGAAAATGCGTCCCTAGACAACCGAATCATGATCTAACTTCAGTAAAACGAATTACTAAAGTGTAATACTAACCAAACCTAATTGTCTCTCCTTCACTGTAAAAAAATCAGCAATTTCAAACGAACTGCAGGACGTTTAAAAAAAATTTCTCAAAAAAATGTAAGGGACTTCCGAAGAACTACTGTACTTCCTCCATTTTATACTTGACTATCAAAATGATTTAAATCGTTCTTCGTTCCGACACATTACTTGATAATCAAGTCGTCAGTCTCTTCAAGTTATATTCATGTAAGTTCCGGAATACAGTTTCCACGCTGAAAAAAATTCAACATTACCATCACGAACCAATACCGAACAGATTGGCGGAAAAAATGGAAACATTTTGCATCTGGAACTTTTCCGCATTGAAGATGGATTTTATAAGAGAATTTCAGAAAAATATACACCAGAAACGAAAATCAGGAGTCACAATTGATCATCAGCTCGGGGAATGCGCGAGGCAAAACAATAAAAATTAAATGCAAAAAAAAATAAAATACCACGCCGGATCTGAAATATTCTGCATGCTCAGCATATTTCCGTCAAGCAGCCAGACGAGTTAATTGAGCCCTGAAACCCGTGCTCTGGTTCCAAGTTCGTCAAAAAGCTCGCGTGTTCGTATATATGCAGTACGTGGCTTATTCTCTCCACATCTGCACCCTTTTTTCCCCCCAACATTTTTTTTTTCAAGCAAGTGAGAAAGCTTCTCGAAGAAGTGACGGCAAGATTCTTTTTTTTTTAACCTTTCCTTTTCCCCGTGAACAGAGATCGATCTCAGTACCCGGCGATGACGGGTCTGGGTTGGGGAACCCGCCAAGCTTCCCACGCTTGTTCGAGCCCAAGAACTCAAACCCGAACCCCCTGTTCCAAAGTTGCGCGCGCGTGTGTGTGTGTGTGTTTCGCCTTCCTTACTTGCATGTGCCAACAGCTCAGAGGCAATCGATCAGTACGTAACTTCAACATGTACGACCCGTGGGGCATGGAAGGGAAAAGTGCGCGAAGAAAACAAAACACTAAAAGTCATGCATTCTGTGAGTCACGACTGTTTACTTTACATTTTTCGTTTGACAAGAAGGACGAATGTGATCCAGGAGGCTGGCTCAGGAAACAAACCAGGAAGTTCCCAGGACAATTTTTTGCACAATATTTCGAGCGAGTATCGGAAGGAAAAGCAGTGCAGTGTTCTGCAACACCTTACGAAAATTGAAATAAAAAAATTGGGATCCAATGTCGAATTCTACAGACGACGGGATGCAAAAATCCACACCAAACTGCAATTCAAAAATAATATTACTTTTTTTTCGAAACGAGAAGGAAAAAAACATCCGTCAGGGAATGAGAGTAGTAAAACAAGGTCCTCGCCTGGCGTTATCTCACGCAGCAATTTAAAATGAATTTCAAAATTTAGCGAGCTACAATGTAACACGAAAAGAAAAGAAAAAAAATTTATCAAACAATAAAAACAGGAAGACAAATTCAGTTTGTACTTCGTTGGAAAGATAAGGCTCAAGTTTTCGACAATCTTCCAAGTTTACTCAGCAAGAAACCAGACATTGTGATCTTCGAATTAAAAAAAATATATATATATAAATATATATAGAAATTCCGTGTAAAAAAGGAGACGAATTCCGGAAAAATCTCTAGAAGTAATTCTTTTCTTGTCTCCCCCTCAATGCAGTACAGAAATGGCCCATAATAAATCCTCCCTCTCAACATTGCATGACCGAAGAATGAACCACTGTGACTTGTAACCAGTCAACCAGTCCTCTCTATATCTCTCTCTCAAGTCAAGTCAGCTGAGCGGAAGCTGAAGGCGTCAGTCCTCCTCATCGCCGGAAACGACGAATCCAAACACCTCCTAATCAGCTGATTCTTTTCCTTAACCCGAAGCAACTGGTGGCGGCAGGTCGGTTGTTGAAAACAAGCCGCCTGTGAGATAAAATACGAGCTAGTAAGGCCTGGTCGCACCGGAAACTCCGACGCGCCAGTGAGATAAAAAAGCCCCGTCGAGAGAAAAATCTCAGACAAAGGAAAACGCCTCGTCGTCGCCGCAGAAAAACGCATCGCAACTCTTAATTAAACTGCAGGGGAGAAACAGAGCAGACGAGAGAGAGAGGAAAAAATAATACAAAAAATGAACGAGATTTCATTCATTCATTCATTCGTCGTTTTATGCACTCGAACGCAGCTGTGGAAACGGAAGTAAAAATTACTCTTGTCTCGACGCCGATTCCTGCTTTTTGAGATTTTTTTTAAACCTCAGAAGGAAGCGAGGGGGAAGTATGATACATTTGATCGGACTGCTTCGCATCAGAACCAGCCCAGCTTCTTCTGCTTTTCTGCAGAACTTAATCAAAATATGGCATTGAATGAAGAGTATTTTTTTTTTACTTATGAGCGACTTCAAAAACTTGATCGTATGTACGTAAGGCCCATTGCGGAAACGGAAGTGGGACAGACCCATTCAACTCTTCCTTTCCATTTGACCGAGGAATGCACTGGATTCGAAGAGTAAAAATCGTAAACGGTCAGGAAACTTTGTCGAAGAAAAATCCATGAAAGGTCAACAAAATATAAAGGATATGATGCGAATGAAGTTTACTCACAACATTGTGTTCATCCGGAAAGTTCATCGGCAATTTAAAGTTGAAGAAATCTTGGATATACAGTAAGATATTAATGGAGAAAATGTTAAAGGAATTCCACTTCTGGCTATAAAAAATAGGAGATCGGCTGATATTTTATGAAATGGAGGTGAGTTTCACATCCCTTTCAAATCAGATCAAAATGTTTTTGAAATATGACGAAGTTCTGCATTGGATCGAAGTACCCATGAGTATTTTTCTTCTTAGGGGTTTTTTTTCCTCCGTCACACGCAGATTTCAGTTCCGAAATTTACAATACTCAAAATTTGGATTGGATTTTCATGTTTTATCGGAGAGTAGGCAATAAATTGCTAATGGAACGCCTGCAATATTAATTTATTTTACTTCGCAGTTGTTGAAAGCTGAACAAAATTCCGGTTTTAACGTGTACTGTACTTTAATTTATTTTTCACGACACCAAGGGAACATCTTTGTTGCGATGAACCGGAAAGTGTGAACCTCTTTTCCCGGAAATACGAAAACCAGGGACATGATCGCATTCGGAAATCATTACGTGAACGGGATATCCTCTCATGGACCACCTACAAATCAAAATAAATGAACCCATTACGTCTCTTTTCCAGGAAAAAATAAAATAAAGCTCGGTACGATTCCTGAGAAACCCAAGGAGAGAGGTTTTTCGAAATGCAATCGGATGAAAAGAATCAAAATCCTCTTCGATTCGGAAGAGGTTTCTTCTTCCATTTCGAATACTATTATACCGTACATCTCTGTATGGGGTAATATGACCTTAAGAAACCAAAACAAAAACCCCGCAAAGGGACATCAATCACGGGGTGTTCCTTTCGGATATTTATTCGGGTGAGCATCAAAAAAATTCGATTGTCCTTGCAGTTTCGTGACAAAACACTCGGCAAGAAACCGTTGGGACATTCCTCAGATTTAATGGAATCATCTTCACTCCTGTCAACCTTGAAGGAAACTCAGTGGAAGCATCAGCTGATACTGTACGAGGCCTTCGGGTGGCAACAAAATATCAACAATTTTAGGCATCCAGTCAGACGAACAAAAGAAAGCATATCAGCTGAGCAAAAGAAATGAGCCGTGTGCAAAACCGCTTCTTTTTTTTCTCTTAGTTCCTTTCATTTTTTTGACACAAGGTCAAACGAGTTTTTTTTTTTTAATAATGCTTCGGGTCAGCTGATGTCGGTGAAGGCGTTTGATGATCAGGATTTCAAGGATACTTTCGTCGTCAGCTGAGAGATTTAAATGACCATGCGAAGGTCCAGCATTTTCTTCCCCAAGAAGAAAAGCAAGCTCAAGAATGCGTCAAAAAAGTACTTTACTGCACTTCAACAAAATTATCCTGGCAGGAAACAAGAATAACACAGGAAGAAAGGAACATAATTGAAGCTCTGTGTCCGTAAAATCAACTTCCGTTCAAATCTGAGCTCACGAATGAAATGAAAAAGCAATTGATGAAGATGACACCGGACCGAGTGATAGACAAAAATAAACAAATGTTTCCAGCTTGCAAATCTTCACTTTTCAAGACAATTTCCGTCATAAGTCATTCAGAACGGCGATTGTACCTAGGGCGAAATTTAAAACAAACGGCTTCGATCCCGAGAGAAAACTTCATCGGACGCCTGAATTGCATACGTGATGATGGTTTGAGTCTAAAATTGCATTCCAAGCGGCAAAGATTATCAGACCAAGGAAGACAGAAAAAAAGAGTATAGTCATCAAGGACGTCTTCGAACCGAAAGCAAGAGTGCTATGAATCCAGCCATAAAATTGTAAGCAATTCCAAACAACCCCCAGACATTTCATCACCCTCCAGAGGGAAAAAGAGTGGGGGGGGGGGGAGAAGTAAGAATAAGGAAAAACGAAAATTAGCCGACAGGAACATTCAGGTTACAAACCAGGAATAAATCTCGTCGTTTCTCTTCCCCGACTTACGCCCTAAATTAGGCACAAATATATAAACCGAAAAAAGGATAAGCTTTTCCTCCCTTTTCTAGACGCCGATGAAGGAGGGTAAAAAAAAAAGAGAAAAAAATCCCAGCTCCGCATACTTCAACTGGGCACTGAACTCAATTCCCGTGTCTTAACTGGCGCAAAGGCGGGCCGGTCCCAAGGCCAGGGACTCTGTCGGGAAGGAAACACATTTCAAAGTATTGGCCATGGGTATACCGAAATTTTCAGGATAGTTTCCTTCGACAGTGAAATGATCAACCCTGTAGTGTCACATAAAACAAAAAACACACCAGAAAACGCAAAACATATAACATTTTGAGACCAGCAGGAAGTCATCAATCCTTGAACAAGAGAATGGACATTGAAATCGAATCCCATCATGATGTTTAGCGTAACTATTCGAAAGGGAAAAAGGTAGCACTTCAGGTCGAAATACAGTATAACACAGAGCGCCATAAACCAACCCAAAAGTTTGGCTTATGAAAAAAAATATTAGGTTCAATTTAATCCCGCAGTGACAGGAAATGATGAAGCATTCAACATTAAGCATATCGAAATCGGCTCACAGACCTGAGGTCATCAAAATGAGACTCCATTTTGATACTCAAATGAGAAAACAATGATTTGAGATATTTTTCGAAAATAAAATCATCAGCGTAATCATGCTACACCTTGAAAATTTTGAGTAAATAATTCAACAAGATTGATCAAAATATGAGGAGAATCTCCAGCACTTAGTAAATATGACTGATTCCAGAAAAATGATTAAATAAAATTAACAACAAAATTCTCGCGGAACACCATGAACCTCATTTTATGGATTAATCAAAACATCAGATTCAAAAATCATCAATTTGTGAAATTTTGGGAGACTTTTCTTCGACAGAATCGACGATAAATAATCAAAGAAACCAAAATATTACGACCAGAAAAATGTTCAAAATCCACAAACACGAGTAAAAATTCACTGTGTTCCGGATTACAAAGAATACTCGTAAGATTGTGAGAGAGACCAAGACTCGAAGGGTGTTTCGACTCCTTCATTACCCCGTAGTTAAGTTGGCCCAGTGGAAAATTTCACTGCATTTTCGTTGGCATGAAGAAATTACCCCAACAACAGAGGAAACGCGTTTAGAATGTCTCATCAATAGTCTCAAGAAAATACGGGGGATTAGAGTAAAAAAAAAAAATTTAAGATGAGGCCATCAAAACCCGCCTCCACCAAGTCATAGATTCAAAAAAAAAAAGTTAACAACATTGATCACATCAGAATTTCTTGAGCGCAATTCCCGAGGAATTCGAACATCCTCCAAAAACCATATTCTGCTCAAACATTTCCCCTCAAATGACATCAGGGTTTCCTGGGAACGAAGAATCTTTCGCCCTGGAAGAAGAAAAAAAAACCCTCTTCAAGGCTAATCCCAGTTAACCTCCAGGCCTAAATCAAAGTAAAAAAGCCCTTCCAATTTCCCCTCTAAACCCGGTCGTTATTTGCAACTCAAAAGCAGCGACAGACACGAAAAGATTTCAACTGTCAACCCGAAAATGAAAGCAGGAAAGAAAGAAACTCACCAGTGGCGCACAAGGTGATGAAAACACGGGCGTGCAAACGGATCTGCTCAGTGTCCACGAACGGCATCAACGTGAGCAAGAGTTGGGATAATCGGTAAATTATGGGGTCAACGAAGTCGTGACCTGTTGTGGCATTCAGGTCCCACCGAAGTCGAGCCAACACCAACAATTCGCAGCACTGAAAAGATAAAAAAAGAAAGGTTGTCAAATTCAATCAACCCACAAAGTACGACAATATTTCGAAAATATACATTAAAAATTCAACATCAATCGTTTTCCAGAAGAATTTCGTGATCGACGAAATGAAAATATCTCAAATTCCAGGCTACAATTTGAAATTGTTTCTTCATTTGAATGAGAGAAAAAAAATGCTTTCAGCCGTTTCACAAAAAATACATCGACGCCATCGATTTAAATTTAAATACGGTATGGAATATTTATCAAGTCACCATCTTGTTATTCCTTCGACCCCACACAGAACTTTAAAATAACCCACGGACTTCTCAGAACTCTATAATTAAAGCTTCCCTACACAAAAACTTTGTTTCGACTCACTCTCGCGGATTTTTTTTCTCTATTAAAAGGATGTGTTCGTAGTTATCAGAAGATCTTCGGGAGATGCATGGATTATTTCCACACGTATCATAACTGTGAAACACGTCCTGAAACAGTTATAAGCTGCAAAAACTTCCGTCGACACGTACTGATAATCACCATACGCATCGATATTAAAAATACATTCGACTGCGGATTTTAAAAAAAACCTGCAGCATACCGTTAATCTCAAGCATTTAAAGTTGTCCTTAATCTGATCCGTTCCTCGAATCCCGATAAAAAAAAATACGAATGCGAAGAAGAAAAGAAAATCGTTCGTAATCCGACACCAACTTCAGCCTTTAAATCTTGAGTAACTTGGAAAATTTCCCGTTCGAGAAATAAATAATTATCCCAAATGCAAAATAATCTAACATTAACTTCGCTATAATATGGAGAACGCAGAAGGTTTCACATTTTCATACAAAAACAAAGATAAGATATTTAAGATATTCCGTGCTTAAAACTGCAAACGGTGCTGAATTACTTCCATATTGCTACCGTATAAACGATTAAAACCAGCGCTTTTTTTCTAATATATTATATCATATCCCAAAGAAAAACAAGACGCATAAAAAAACTGCATGTAATTCAAACCAATATTTCCGGCATCTTTTCGGCAGCTCCCAGTGATACCCAAGTAATACAACGAAACAAAACTTAAACTTCTAGCACCGCAAAAAAAATAAATAATGCCAACTTCACCTCGAGACGTGAAAATGCGTCAAGTTTTCGTGGTTTCATCGCAAACATCAATTACTCGAAGCCATGATGATCAGTGACGTCGGAAACGCAACGATCAAGAAATTGGGAACTCGGGCGTGTAATTTAAAAACCTTCGCAATCACCTCGATTAAAGAACCCCTTTCCTTTTCTCACCCTATTTCTGAGACCTTCGGGGTCAGTCACGCGTAACAACACTGTGACCACGAGGCCAAATAGTGACTTCAGAATACCATAAACAAAAGCAAGAATCGTTCGCCAGAAAATAATTGCAGCTCAGTTGCTTCCCAAGACTTGCTACAGACACAGAAAAAATAGATAACCGTAAAGAATTACTTCGAAAAAAAATCACGAATAAAATGATCAGATAAAGCGAAATCACAATTTCTAGAAAAGATGATGATGCGGACAAAAAGAAAAATACGAGAAAGATTAATTTCCACGGCCAAGTTCGCAACTCAGCCCTAATTTGCCTATTCAAGAAGACTTTATATAATAATTTGCACTTATTTTTATGGCTCTATAATCTCCAATCGGAATCAATTAAGTTGATTCTGCTCATTAGAAATTTCCTACGACTAAACCAGGAACAGCTTCTTCAGAGAAAATTATAAATCCAGTCAGCAAACCTGACGATGAGACGTTTCACAACCCGAAACATGATTATTATTCTGGAACAATTATCCTGCAATTCATCAACAACTTTATGGGCGTCCAATAATATATAAATATCCTCCTTAAAATTCAACATTAAATTCGATGATGTAAATTGATTCTGTCGCTTCCCTCTTCACAGCTCACAAGGAATCGAACGGATCATAAGACCAGGAATTTAAGCCTCCGGAACTAATCCCTAAAGCTCGCCTCACTCTGGCTCGAAATTTAAACTCCAAGCTAGCATACGGTGAAAGAGCAGAAGAGGGAGGAGAAAAGCAAAGGATTTCGTAAGCAATCCTGCGGGTTTTGAGCTCTTTTTTTTTTTCCTGTGTATGTGTGTGCCTTTCTCCCTCTCCATCCACGAGACACCACGCATTGCCCAAGAACCACCAACTCCGCCACCACGACTCCAAAAAAAAAAAAGACCGCCTCCTTATATATTTTCCCCGTCAGGAAAAACTATTCGAAGAGTAAAACGCCTGGAACTCTGGCGGCTCTGAAGAAAGCCGCCGCCAAAAAAGGCTACTAAATTTCAGAAGGAATATTTCTTCCAAATCAAGTTTTTTATTAATGAGTTATACGACGGAGGAATCTAAGATTGTTTAATTCCGATAAGATACTGTGCTTCCTGTACGTTATCATACTTCCAAGTAAAGTACTGTATCTTCTTCGCACTCCCAGAAACTAAGCAATTGAAGCTCACCTTTATCCAAGAACTTTAAACGATTCATAGACGGAGAATCTTTTAAAAATATCACATACAGTAATTCCATCATCAGAAATGAATTCATACAAAAGTCGAGCATTTTCACAAGCAAAATTGAATAAATCGAAATTTCGAAGACGAGTAAATCTGCAATTAATAAAAATCGACAAACTATTCCGAATGAAAAGCAATCCGAAAAAAACCAAAATTTTTCTCGCTGGCTCGAATTATCTCTTTGACTTCTATTGTTTGCTCTTCCTTCGTTGATACAAATCAACATTCCACACATTAAAAATGTATGATGAAAAAGGAAGAAATTCAGTTTTTTTCTCTTTGAGCTGCTTTTCGCTGACGACTCTTCTACGAAATTATTCGTTTAATTTACTCCTGTAATTGAACCCGACAGATTTCCCAGAAATTCGCCATCAAGATCTCAGAGCGAAAAAGTCTCACTTACGAACCTTCAATTGCGACGATTTTCCCCACAATACTGTAAAATATTCCAAATCTTCCAGTCCAAAAAAAAAAGAGGAAACCTTCACGCCGCGTGTCTGAAAAATGTGCGACTGAAAAGCGCCTTTACAGAACGCATGCGCGGAAGGAAACACACACACACACACACTCACAAAAGAGGAAGGGGACCTTACATACACGCATTCGAATAGAGGAGGGGAAACAGGAACGAAGGACAGGGCGAAATGGGTAGAAGAAATACACCACACACACACAAAAGTGGGAGAGAGAAAGATGTGTGGGATGTAAAAAGGAACGAAATAAAAAAAAAAAGATCGCTAGAGACGAGGAAACGGGGACACGGGGCCAGGTGGTGTTCCGGCGAAGCGAACTGTAATTTTCTGCCCTGACCTGGCGTGCCTCGAGGACCACCTAGGCCCAGTTCACAACGACTTGCACCAACTCGCATTCGGATGGAGTAAGACGGATCGAAAAGGAAGAAAATAAAAGTATTGTATCGTACAAGCACATCGAAGACTTGCATAAAGCCACTTCAGGGAAAATTCAGATTCTTATGCAACCTGGGCCATGAGCGATATTCAGAATAATAAAAATTATTCTGAGAGTAAATCCGGGAGTTATTCCGAATAAATTCTATATACAGTAGTATGTGTATTACATAAAGCCTATGACGAAAATGAGCTAATACTCATTTAGAATGATGTGCCATCTCAATTTTTATGAAGTGCAATTTAACACAACAGGAAGATTTGTACAGTGAAAATCGGAGACATGCGTAAACCGTGCTTCCATCTTAAATACTAATCCTCAATTCAATAATTTCGCAAGCAACACTTGAAAAAAAAAATTTTTCACTGCGCATTATATTCTCAAAAATAGGCAGACACATTTGTGACAAAAGAAGAGTTCACGAAGTCTATCTCACTTTAATTGAGATCATGAGATTAATTGAGATTAACTCAACCTAGATTAATTTCTCATTTCCAATATTCCCCATTTAAAAAATATAAAAGAGGTCAAATGTTCCGTTTATGCACAGGACTTCTCACATTATTTGAGAATTTCCAAACGCATTCACAGGTCAAAAATATAATCGCCTAAGATGTCCAAAATCTTGATCCCAAAACGGATAACCCTACGAAATGATATTAAAAGTATATTTCAAGTAAGTTACCCAGCATTTAAGAATCGGAAATACCCTAAATCCGAATGAGAAGTTAACAGCAGTTGAAAAAGTTCGAGTGGCACAAAAAAACAGACAAAAGAACGATGAATAATCACCTGGAAAATGGTCAATCCCATCCGGAAATGATTCAAATGAACATTTTTTAATAGTTAGCCCCAAAAGGGTCATAAAATTGAAAGACGAAAGCTCTCGAACACATTTAATTTTGGAGATTTCCCAAGACTAGAGTGCTCGCTGAATCAACGCCGTGAAGAAGTATTAAGAAAAAACATATCGATTGACCTCGAGACTTAGATTAGGTTGCCTCATAAACCCGAGGTGAAGAGGAAAAGCTTCGACCCGCTTTTTTCTTCACATCCAAGGCTTTAAAATCCGAGACCCGACGGATGAGAAAAAGGCTCGATTCACACCAACACTCGAATAACAAGCTCATTCCCGTTTCTGAATATCGTTCTCAAGAAAGGAAGAAAAACTATTCATGACATGATCGACTCACCATGAGCTGATCGTGGCTGATGGAGTCGTCTGTGTACATGACGAGGTCTCTGGGTTTGAGCGCATCCTTCATCCACACTTTGGAGGCGACCAGGAGACACGTTGTGCCAATCAACTGGAAAGTTGACTTCTTGATCACCGTAGTGCACAAAAATCTGTCCATGTAATTCGTCGCCGAAGCGAAAACCTCCTCTGGACACCCTTGTTCCTCACAAACCTGAGAAGTCACAGAAACTTTTTTTTTCAAATCTGCATGTACACGGATCGGAGAGGTTCAACGGGACAATTTTTTGATCCGACTTCAAATAAAATACACAAGTTTCTCAAGTCAAATTTCAAACATCTCAAAATGTGTTCGATTCTCGAAGGAGAAATCATAACAGTAAGTAATATAAATCACGTATTCCTCGTTTTTTCACTTCGATTACATATTCTTCTTCGGCGCAGAAATTCCACTGTATAAATGAAAACTCAAAAATACTATGACATAATTAGCAGTTATTTTTGCCTTTTCACTAATCCAACTGTTGAATTAAATGCGTTTCTAACAATATTCAAAACGAAATAGTGAATTTCCCACTGCACACGACCTCTTCGAAATTGTTTAAATGCATACGCTACTCAAGATGACAGTGAAATACTTCTGATTAGTTCATTCCGGTTGAAAAGGTGGAATATGAATTACAATACAACATACCTCCAACATCCAATTGGCGACGATTTTTCGCATATACGGCTTGATATCGTTTTGAACTTTCTCGAAATAATCCATTCGAGGAGTGTAGAAATCTTGCATAGAAATCAGGTTTTCCAGGGCGCGATCATCAGCAAGGATTTCCGGGTCGGCGTAAGTGCGACAGGATTCCAGCTTTTCATAGCACATCAACGATCGGCCTTTGCCGGAATCCGATGAGGATTTGGCCATCGTTTGACAAAACACCCGAATAAGAGCTAATTATTGGGGTCTGTCTTACAATGCAGTTAATGCTTTAATATAACGAATGCTGGACTTCACTTGAGCTTCTTGATCGGCCTCCGCACACCAGGCCGGTCAGGATTCTTTTCACAGTGGACAAGTCACTGATACCTGTTTCCACCACCACCTGATGAACAGAAATTTTAATTCATTTCTCAGATTATCACTCACTAATGAAACTTGAAGAACCCGGGAGCAACCCCGACACACTAGTTCAACGAAATTTCCGCGAACCAAAACCAACATCAAAATTCTCAGCATTTTTCAGATTATTCGAATCATCACGACGAAATATGCGCACCTTATGACATATTCGCGAGACTTCGTGTCGCAGTTTCATGTAAAAGTCACACAAATCTACAAGGTAGTGGTATGAAGGACTAAACTATATCTACTGCATTACACGTAAGCCTCAAGAAAAGGTGGAGCTACTTAAATACACACATACTCAAAATTACGTAATAAATAATCCAGCAAACATGCAATAACTTCCAGAATATTATACGCCTTGGTCATTGTTACAAAAAACTCAAAATCTGCACTATTTCTGGGGGCCAATGGTCGCTTAAACTCGACTGTTCACGGTGCTATGAACTGCAAGACATTTAAAAGGGAGGTTGTACACAATTCCGTAGTTGTTCGCGCAGTATATTTATCTCACTCGCAAAGAGAATAAACCGCACACTGATTCCACAGTTCTCCAGAGTCGAACTCATTGATCGCTAGAAATCTACATGTGACTTCCTCACACACGCCTTAGCAACAGGCAAATATCGCACAGCACATTCTTTACTCCGCGTCTTCACGAGCGTGCGCAGCCCACCGATGACGGCGAACACTGGCGCACAGAGGTGATCCACGCGGCGTATTCATCACCGTCGATTTTCAGCAGCAGCAGCGAGCAAAGGGAAATGCGTATACAGTCTATCCGTTAGGCGGGACGAGAGAGGACACGACCGAGGGTGTGGGAGGGAGGTGGAAGGCATTGGGACAGGACAGGCCGGGCCTTAAGCGCGCCAGCTGCTGTTGAGGTGCGCGTTGCGCGTTCGTTCCTGTCTGCGCGCCCGCGCCTTTCCTTCTTTTCGTCTTTTCACTCCCCGTTTTTTCAGTCCCTCACGCGCGAGCGTACGACGTGGTGTACAGCTGCTCTGCGCGCTGGTCGCTTGGAGAGTTTTTACCGCTGTCCCGCTGTCAAAGCTGCGCTCGCATATGTACTCGCATCTTCGAAAATTGAATGCTGCGCAGGGTGCAGTTATGATTCAGTTTATGGACTTTTACTCACTCATGGAAAGTCCGTGATCCTAAAAGCATATTAATTGCATTATTCGAAGCTAGAAAGAGTGACTTATTGGCTCCATTTTCCTCCATCACGAGATACATTACAACATAGTTCAGTACAGTAATGTGAAGCTACCTGGAATACCTGATACACTCCAGTTACTACAGACACGTCAAGACGTGTTGAATGAATCACACAATTGATATAAACCATTTTTAAATACAAAAACACTTCAGAATAAGGAAACCATGCTCAGTAGGATGAAGATTGTCAAAGATGCACTGCTTTATCCATGTGAGAATTACTGCTGAAGCCAAATTTCCAGCAGCAAGATCAAATGTTTCAACGGAAATCATTCTTAATGATGTTCATTGGGGGAAACATATTCCAGTATTCAAAATAAAACTCCCATGCTATCCGGAGTCCATTGTCCAAAATGTTTACTCAAGGAATAATACATTAATTATGTGGGTAACCACGGCAATCAACTCTCTCGGATATGAAAAGTTTCTATTTGAACATCAAATTTAGAGAATGATTCGATTTTGAAGCTGGATTGATTATTGTTTCATGATCTTCAAAAGTTTGTCAAAGATCTTGATACCATCACAGCAGCAATAAGAAAAACTTCTTAGCTTTTCTGAGATTGTTTTTTTTTAATACTGCAAAAATGTACAGTATTCCGAATGATTTCTGAAGTACTCTAGGATGCGCTCTAATAAATGTAACATATTTCGTAAATTATTGATTCCACATGCGTCTGCGCTTGCAGTTGCTGGCGTCCCAGAACGATTGTAGTGTGACGCTCCCTTCGACGATTAGCCCGAAGGGTCCGCCCACCCCGTGGATGCGTTGCATATCCGTCCCTCACCGGATACATCATGTTAGTGCTCGTCGAAGGGAAAGCAGGAGAGAGAAAGAGATGGAACAATCTGCCTCTGTGAAAGCCGGAATGGAAGAACCACTTCGGGTGACGGTGGTGTTCCCTGCGCGTTCCTGCATGTGGCGTTTGAGCGCCACTGGGTTGCTTGCCATATGAGCCTTTTTCTGAAAGCCCCCATATAATTAATACTGTAGCTGGGTCCAGAAGAAGGTATGTACTGTACTGTAGCCTTTGTAACCCGCACTAGAAATTTCTGGAACTCAAAATTTAAATTCATGGGCAAACATTACCTAAAAAAAACAGGGTGCGTATCACGATTGATTAGTTTTGTAGGTCAATTTTCATGTTTCATCCGAAGTTCATTCAATAGCTCTAAGGGGGGGGGGGTGCTTTGTTCTGATTGTTGCTAGGTTACTGTAATCACTTGAAGTAAATACTGTATCGAATTATTTTGCAAAATTTGGCTTATAAAACCTTAGTGTGTTGTACAGTGATGTTGCAGATTTTCTGGTCAAGCAGTACTGCACATCAATATTTCTTTCTGACTACAAAATTCATGAATAAAAATGTAAAAGAAAATATTTTAACAAGATGCAAAAGTATAAAGTATTTCCTGTTCAGGAAGGCAAAAATTAAAATTCACAATTTCACTTGGAATGACTTGATAAGATCAATAAGCGAATAATTGATGCGTCATTGGAGATAGAATCAGTGAGAACATTAAAAAAAAAGGATGACTTGAGTTTCAATGGAAAATGATTTCAGATATGCATGCTGAATCATTCCCATGTTCGAAGTAAAAATTAGGGGTTTAATTTTATGTCATCTTAACTTCGCGAGGTCGTTCTCTGCGACTCCCTTTTTTGCGAAAAAAAGACTCACTTCTGTGCGATTGCCCGGGTTTTTGGCCAATTTCACTCGAACCCATTCATTGCTGGCTGCTGCAGGTAGTTATATAACTTGGGTTTGTGGTCATGTAAGGCGTGATGAAGCAATTAGTGTGATCAACGCGCGGGTAAATCGTGTATTGCCTAGGAACTTACCCTAGGTTTCTGATCATCTTCATGATAAAAGTAAAAACCGGAAAGTCCTGTGCAAGCTTATCCTGCAAATGAGAGGTACTGCTTGATTAGAGTACTAAATAGTACGCATTCTTTGAACGTCATGGGGTTGAGCATTGTGCTGACGAATGTTGTGTTTTGATCTATTTTTGAACCGATCCATTGAGGTTTCAATGGTAAATTTTAATTTATTTGTTAATCGAAAGTCATGGGTTCAGTCCAGACATGCTTATAGGTCTCACAGTAAATTGAAATCTTGTTAGAACACAGCCATTTGAACCAGGAAAAACTTGTTTACACCAAAAACGTTAACAAATAAATTCAAAAGAAATTTTGGCTATTGAGTATAAACGAAAAGACGTGCAATATTTTGTTGTCAGGAATAATTTGCTCTGAAAAGATTTGTACTAAATTTGCAGATGTTGATAACATGTATCACAAGGGTAAAAGGATAAATTCCTGCTAAGGGAGGCTAAAAAAAAAGATATTTATCAGCTTTTCTTCTATTTCCACTGCCTTTGATCCGCAAACTTTTGTTGTCTTCAACCACAAGAATTTTTTTATGTACATTTATTCAGAAATAGTTAACTTTGAGTGACTGTGTCCCGGCTTGTTATATTGAATATCATTTTCCTTTTTTTTTTGAAAATGCTTCCCTCCAATTTCGAAGTATGAAGACAACGTATAAAAACGCAACAGCCGAAATACGGGGACTAAAGGAGCCATAAAATTCCTAATTATGTACTATGCCTGGAGTAATTTTCACGGTGTTTACTTTTAATTCCAATATACTGTACTGTATAATGAAATAATTTCAATTTATTTTTGGCTTTGAAAACGGAGCCAAAATTTTTTCCAAGCCTTCTTGCAGGTCGAAAATTTTCAAGTTCCCTTTTCGGTTAAAAAGCAAAAATGTCCGTTTGTCACTTTCTGGACCGCTTTCGCAACCCCATCAGCGAACTCCCCCTTTTTTCACGGACCACAGCAATTACCGTAGCAGGGTTCATCAAAAATGCATGCCCTAATTAATCCTCGTTCCATCTGTGGGCCATGATATATTGAAGCGATTAAAGCTCAATAAAAAAAAGGAAACACGTGAGAGACATTCTACCCGGGCTGTGGGAGAGTTTTTCGGGGACCCCCGAAGGTTGTTTCGAGATGCATATAGAGATAATATTTACTTCCTTCCGAAAGCGATACGAGGAATAAAACGGAAGCTGTGTGGGCACCAGATAAAATAGAGAGGACAGGAAACCCCGAGCTTAATTAAAGCTCTCTGATGCCAGAATATAGGGGTAATTTCATCTCTACTTTTTTTTCTATCTTTTATTTTGGTTTGGCCGTTATTTCTGCGCGGTTGGGCTACTTATTCCGGGTGCGAAAAATTTTGTGGTGTGCAATTTTGCTGGCGGAATTGACACCCCGCAGTCGTGGCTTTTCCATTTTTGGCGTGGGAATCAGCATGCCTGTTTCCGGATGACGGAAATACTTTTTTTTTTTTTTGCCTTCGGTATGATGACCGTGGTCATAACATTATTGGGTCGCACCTTTTGCAAACATTTCCGGGTTTTGTGCTAAATTCATAATTATATTCAATACTTTTACTGTATTTTTCATGAAAAGTTTCCAAGACCGTGTTTAAAAAGTACAGGATATGTGTCTTGCAGAATTTAACATAAAGATTGTTCGCTGAGTATATGAAAGAGCATGTTTGAAGCATCTTCGAATCACGAGAATTTAAATACGGTAAATGCGGATTGCTTTCCATTTTAAATACTCGGGAATGTCGGGATCAAATAAACCACTGTTTTTGTTGTTGTCTTTGATACCATATCTCGATGCATTTTCAAGTCTTCAAGTATGGATATGCAGATATTTTTTTTCAATCATCGTAGACTTTTTTCCTTTGATG